CAGTAGAATAATGGGGTGGTTCCTTTGATGTATTTCTTACTTCACTAGAGATTTTGATTTCCTCAGATCAACACGTGAATGGTTTCGCTTTTGAACAGGAACTCACATGAAAGTAAGTGCGCGAAGTCAATAACATTTCGGACAAGAAATCAGTAAGGAATACGTTTAAGAAACACTAAATTTATTCTTCAACCTCATCTGTAAACAAACTTACAAATTATGCAAGCGTGATAAAGAGAAACTTTTTTTCATACAATTTGACAATGGGAGTTCCAAAGGCCTATTCAATATTTTGAATTACTAGATTTTCATATCCTTCGTGGATCTCAAATATAAATCATATTATACCATATACTGCTATAAAAAAATTATAATACCGTAAAACTTCGAATTGAAGACCTGGGCTTTTTTTGTCTTTTCTTATTCTTTTTCTTTTTTTTTTTGCCATATGTGGATGTGCTTCTTTTCGAGATAGGCTACTTTGCAAAGTAAAAGAGGGAGGATTCTTTTCAAAATAAATGCTGTAAATTTTGAGAATTACTACAATATAAAACAATAAATATGAAATATGGGCACTGTAACATCAATCTGTATCATGTAGTTTATTAACCGGCATAAATCACCTAAACTACTGAAACCAAGCGTGTTTTAAATTTATTTTTTTTTTTAAATTCATGTACAGTGTATGTACTGTACTATCTCGAAAAGAGGTCCATGCTATCTTGAAAAGAAGCCCATGGGCTTCTTTTCGAAATGGGTTTCTTTTCGTCGTTACTTTTGCAAACTAAAGAGGGGACTTAAATTCGAGATTGGCTTCTTCTCGAAATTAAGCCAATTGGGCTTCTATTCGAGATTTTACAGTTCTCAAAGTTAGGCCTATACATTTTGATAAGTTTAGAGTTAACATGTCAAACACTTAACATATTTAAATTCAATTGGCCTCTACATTTTACGGCACCTGAACACAAATCTTAAGCCACATTTACACTAGACACGATTACGACACGACAACGACATATCATCACATAGTTTGTATTCTCACTGCACGCATCTGTATCGTGTCGTTGTCGTGTCGTAATCGTGTCTAGTGTAAATGCAGCTTCAGACAAAGACATATTCTGAGTATAACTGAAGTCCAATATTTCTTCAACTAGGTGTATTATTACATTTTTCATTTCTTTACAAAATATGATACTTCTAAAAAATAGTTTCAAAACTTCATAGGTAACATTTTATTACCATTACAAATTAACACTGTGCAGTTACCGCCAGTTCCAGTCGACTAGATTAAATACCATCGAACCCAAATATTTCAGTATTTCACGAAACCTTAACTACGAACATACATATACCATTTCTTTAGTTTTTGGGTTGCAGGCCAACTATGTTGTATATAGCTATGACGTGCACAAGAGGCAAAATTGCGAACAACGATCAAGAGATATCGTGCTACAGGGACCGACTGTCCACGCAATACATATTGGCTCCTACATTTATTGAAGCCTGGTATCAACAGAATCGCTACACAGTCGCTACAACTTTTCACTGCGATTATTGCACTGCGTAGCTGTCCCTGACACAACCGGGAATGCTCCTTGATTCAACTAACCAATCAGCGTCGCCAAAGGAGTCGGCGATAGCGTGCAGCGATTTTATGGAAACTAGCCTTTACATTTCGTATAGCAAAACATGTTCTGTCCTCCTTTTAAAAAAATCTCTGTTTATTTCTTCAGCACCGTAATATTTGTAGCTCAACAATGAATGACTGTTGGACGACTTCTCTAACGAATTTCTTACAAAAAACTATATGAATCTAAATGAATAAGTTTACTTTTTCAATACTCTGTTAACTCCGTGTATTACATAACATCACTGTCTAAAGGTTCAATGGTGCTACATCGTATTCGTCGTTTTCCAATGTCAGGTCCAAGGGGTCAGATTTCGGCTTCATATCTAACTCAATGACGACTTTCTTGAAATCAGAAAAATAGCTGATGAAAAAAGTTAAAATGGCGGCTCCGAGGAACCACTCACTGAATGTGCTCACCAGATGCGCAGCATAACCCTAAAGACAAAATGATAATCGAAATTAAGTCAAAAACTCATACTACGAAATAAGGACATTCAAGAGGCAGTAGCAAGCACAAATATTGTCGTAAAAAAGGTTACAATGAAAGTCATCATCACCGATATCATGATCATTTCAGCCTAAATGCAGGACGAATGCCTCCACAATCTTAAACCATCTATCCGGCTTTCGGCCTTCCCCGCCGTCGAGTAATGGCCCTGTTCTTAAAATCCATTCAGTGACAAACAAGTGCCAAAATAACATAAATGATGAGAAAAATAAGATAATATCTAAAATTTTTAAATATAATGACATGGTTTATCTGTGAGTTTTAATATTATATACCTACAAATCATTGTTTGACAATAGTCAACTCGACAGGTAGGCAAAGTGCGGCCCGACAATGATTTTTTTCGGCCAGCGAAAATAAATTAAAAACTGTATGTGTGCAGCCCGCCAACCATCTATGGTTAGAAAAGCCCTTGTTTTTTTCACGACCCGACACCAATCATCTGTAAAAGGTAATATTAAAACTGAGGCATAAAGCGGCATAAAACTCCGGTGCATGAAGGTTTTTGGAAGCGCATGGAAACATGAAAGTTGGGGTGTGGCCCTCAGTGTTCAATCAAAAATTTACTTTGGCCCTCCGACCAAATTTTATGCCCACCATTGGCCTAGTGGGTCAGGTTCGTCTATTTCTGAGTTATCAGTTCCCCTGGTTAGGCTATGAAACAGCATTTTAAAGAGTGGATCAAAATGGGCCTGAAGGAAGGACCCGAAAATGTATAAAAATAGCTTTAAAAACTTCATTAAAAGGAACTTAGATTTTGGATTGAAAAAAAAGACGAAGACAAGAATAACAATGTTTTTTACATTAAGCAACATTTTACAAGATAGATCAATTATGTATCAATATTTTAGAGGGCGATCAAAACTAAAATGAAATATTTTGTTTTCATTTGGCCTCCAGAGGTTCATCACATGAATTACGTATCTTTCATTAAACGTGAATATTATACTGCAAGAACGTTATCATAACAAATTACGAAGAAATAAATTAGCTTTGAATACAATATATAAAAGTACATGCAAGTTTCAAGAGTTGTATGATCAGTAATGGCAATGCGTTTATCTTCATTACACATCATATGCCAAAACAATAATTGGTTTAGAACTGTATGCCCACATGGGGCAAAACCTGACAAAATTCCAGAAAAGGTCAAACTTTAACTAGGTCTTATCTAAGTTATGTAATAAAGAAAAACAATGGTAAAATGAAATGCTGTACGTTAAGTTTCAATGTGGCGGTAACCCAATCAGAATCATAGGAAACTATAATGAAGGTTAGAAAATCTCGAATGATTTGAACTCCTATATATAATAATTGAGGTGGGCATGTCTTGTAAGCAATTCAGAAAATGTAGCTAAGCAAAGGTCTCATAAGGCAATCTCCGTATTGTACCAAAATTGGCATGAAAATAATATTTAAACTTTTCTATATATTATTACGCCCTCTTGTAGTTTCAACTGCACATACTTTACATGTCAAAGGTCAAGGTATATAAACTAACAATTCGTAGTTTCAACTGAACATAACTGTCAAAGGTCAAGGAATATAAACTAACAATTTATATAGCTCACTGTGTACATTATACAGCTTCTTCTGATAACAAAATTTACCTACCATAATAAGGATCAAGAACTGTTAAACTAATCCTTGACTTTTGACATATGCAAGTGCAATTGAAACATCAAGAAGTTTCATTTAAACTATGAATTAAATATCCATGTGTTAAAATCTATTTTCAAGTTTTATAACTTATTTCATTTAAAGCTTGGAAATGTATATGACATTCAAATGGGATTAATTTAAAGTGTATTTATTAATAAAGAATAAATTTGTACACTTTCAATATGATGATAACATGACAAAACTGTGGGGCTTCAGAACATGTTTTTTTTTTAAACTTATTTTAAGGAGATTTCCGTAGGGATTAAGAGTTTCCTCCCATCTGTAAAATGCAAATGCTTCTCCTTTTTTTTTTTACCCATCCTGTTATTTGTGAAACTATTCATTACTCATTACAAATTGAAACAAGTAGAATACATACAGTATTTGACAAACAATCTTACTCCTTCTACTTGTACTGAATCCTAAATCCTTTAATTAAATAACATTCATGATAGTATTGTAATTATATGAAAAGATAAAGTTTTACAAACTTGGTTAGTTGAGTTATCTACCATAAAACATTGGGATATCTTTTGTAGGACCCTTGGAATGGGCTTCTTTTCGAGATGAGTTTCTTTTCGAGATTACTTTTGCAAACTAAAAACTTCTTTTCAAAATTAATGCTGTAAATTTTGGAATTTTCTACTATATACAACATTTTTCAACTATGGAATTTGAAATTATGTTTGTATTTTTTAAATTTTAACCATGCTATTGCTAGTACAATGCTATCATATATAGTAATAACATCAGTATGATTGTGTATCTTGAAAGGAGTCCAGGAGCCCATATTATCATGGGCTTAGCTTTGAGATTTCTTTTGCAAACTGAAGATTGGGGGGATGCCTTCTTTTTTTTTCGAGATGGACTTCTTCTCGATAGTAAATCCATGGAGTTTGTGGTATATGCTTAAAGTTAAAATGTCTCCTGGAAAGGGGATCAAGATCAACTATAGCCTTAAGATATATTGTTTCCACGATTCACAGAAAAAAGTTTCTCTGAATATGGGTGTGCAAAGGAGAGGTTCCACTTTAGTTTCCTAGAGATATTGCTGCTTCTTGCATCATAGACTCCAGTTCGAACTCAACTAGCATCGGTTGTTAATTAAAGCCACTCAACAGCCGAACACCCTTTTTGAGCAAACCCCCTCTTAAAAAAACCAAGCCACCACCCCCCACCATTTTCATCAAAAAGTATCCAAAAATGATGATTAAATTGACCTCCAGGGGGCTTTGCCACTGACCCCTACAACAGCTCTTGTCCAGGACTTAGGGCCTGAGTTGTTTGAATTCTGGTTGAGTTGATTGTGCTTGAACTGATTTTTCTCACTAAAGCAGATTTCGTCATTTGTATTTATATTTGTTCAGCATTATTACAAGATGGCTTAGAGTTCATCTCTATATCTGGGGCCGATGCAGGATTTGGCGTTCGGGGTGCGAGAGAAAACTTTAAGAATATGGACCTCTAGCCTCTAGGTGCTGGAAATTACACTCTCATACCGTAAAATTCTTACCGGTACTATGCCTATGTTCGTATCAACATTACAATACAAGAATTATTTTTCTTGGGTGTTCCACTCGTATCGTCTGCACCTCCCACACCCCCAACATTTGCCCCAGTTATATGTCAATGTATATATTTTATTACTTGAATTACATAAATTTTGTAGCTCAAAATATATACATAAATTTGATAAATACATATTAATTCATAGATTTTTATGGTACACATTTAACAATAAAGCTACTTTTTAGACTTTATCTCTATTTTGTATTACTGTACATAATATATAATACATAAATTTAATAGATAACCTTATAATAGTAATACATAACTTCTACTCATATATTTTAAAATACAGTTTTAATTTTGTAACATGTCAGTTAACATTACAGTTTTGTTTTTATGTAGTGTTTTGTAATAATTTGAGATATACTGTAGTGTAGGTTGTTTTTCAGCGTCATTTTTAATGTAGTGTATTAAAAGAGACACTTCAAAGATTATATATTATGTTTAATTAGTTTATTAATTTATACATTTTTAGAATACTGTAAAAAAAAAATGAGAAAACAATGAAGAACAATATGTACAGTACACACACTACTACAAAAAACATGGTTAAATAAATAATAAGTGGAAGTGGTTATTGGTGCAGCGGGAAAAGTTTGGTACCCCAACCTCAAGGTCAGGCTTTCCCTCGCTGTGCACTTTGCTATTGTGTCCTTGAGCAAAGACTCTTTATTTGTGTTGCTTCACTTCACCCAGGAGTATAAATGGAAATAACCTGGTGAGGTTTCCTGCTACGGCGCAAATATGGCAGTAACAATTACTGTAAAGCATGTGGACCAAATGACCAGAGAAAACTTCGTAAGGAAGGCACTATATAAATACCAAGAAATAAATAAATAAAATAAACCAATAAATACTTACACCATCTTCTTTGTTCCACTGGAAAGTGTCATTGTGAACGTGGTGTTTTTCCCATTGCCTTGAGGCTGCAATCTCCGCCATATAAGCTGACAAATTAATTAAGGTATTACAAAAATATGCATTCATCAGTAATACCATATTTACAATACAGTACCGTAATTGCTTGAATAAGCACAACAGCGCTCATAAATTTTTTGGAGACTTCAGTGCAGTGCTTATTCGAGGGCTGCACTTATAAAAAAAAATATTGGCCTGGCGCTTTCCATGCCTGTTCCCATGTTACCTATCTCACATATTCCCGTAGTTCAATAGGCCTATCACAGGTCCTACGTCACTGTAAATAAAAGTTTATAAAGAAATGCTTGTGTCTTCATTGTGTTATTTATTCATGTTAACACTGTATACATTGTATTTAAAACTCTGTTTCTCAAAGTGTTTCATTACACATAAGGAAATACTCTCGATTAAGCACCGCGGCACTTATTTAAGAACGGCACTTAACAAAAAAAATTATGTTTGGTTTGGCGCTTATTCGAACATTTTAAGGTATGTTTAAAAATATGTTATCAGGGGTGGATCAAGAGAAATATCTGGGTAGGGGATGTGAAATTTATGAAGTAACGAGCCAATGGGGAGGAAGGCGTAGGATGTGTTTCTCTTTTTCCTCTCCTTTTGGTGAGAGGGAGGATTAATTCCCCCTCGAGCCTCCCACCCTTCAACCCTGATCCGCCCCTGATAACTATGGCACACAGGCAGCCAAACTTACTGTATTAATTGTATAGCCAATATTTTAATGTCTGTACCTGCTGCAGTAACTCTTCTTCCAAAGTGAAACATAATATATGCAAAAGACCCTGTTTGTGAGGACAGTGTAATATAAATAAACTTTTATATTATCAATATAACTATTATAGTATTCCAGATCACCAACAACATTGTAGTATATTATTTAGAGAGGGCAGTAAGTAAGAATTATAGAGTAAAATAAAACACTGGCATAAAGAAAAGCATATGAGCTTAAAATACATCTTGCACTGAAGAATGGATTATGTAATATGTCTCATCCTACTATGTACTCTCCCTAAATGTATCATTTTCCATTTCTATTTTTATATGAAATACTAGGTACCACATGGTATCACTAAACTGCAAGTTTTAGATATCTAAATGGGTGGAAATCTACTTTTATGATGTACTTAGAAACAATAAAGAAAGAGCAAGTTATCTATATATTATAAAAGGATACTTGAGAACACTAAAGCGATGCCAGATATGGTTAAAAATAGCCGAAACCTGCACTGAGCTAAACTGGTGAATTGTGGGCAAATCTTGTAAGAGATCCATGTGTGAATACCGGCGTAAATAACGAATCCAATAAATGCTGTGCACGCACCAATCATGTGAACTACTAGAACTGCTTTATCCTGAAAAAATAATTTAAACACTTCATAAATTCTTAATAATATTATTTTGTTGTACAAACATCAATGGAATAATATTAGTAAATGAATTTGTGAAGTTCATTTATTTATTATATTAACTTGCAACTTTACTAAACTTAGAGAGCAGCTTAATAAGATGAAGGCAAAAAATGGAAGAAGAAGACACTTAAATTATAATGGGGTACAGCAAGTGACAAGGCTAAATATGAAATGAAAATGGGCCAGTGGGAAAGAGACCCGATTTCAAAACAAAACTTATCTAATAATGTACGTGTAAATTCATCATCATTCAAATGAAAATAAAATTTGAACAAAATTAAATTAATTATAGAGATGATGACAATGATGATAATATATAGTGCAGGGGCGGATCCAGAAATGTCCAAAAGGGGGGGCCGGAAGGTGGGGGGCCGAAAGTTGGGCCAATTGAGACAACACTGTCGTAGGGGGTCCGGGGCATGCCCCGCGAAATTTCTGTGTTCTAGACGCCCGAACATAACATTTGAGGCATTCTGGGCTATCATTTTTTTCTTTTTCTCTCTTTTTTTTCTTTTTTTTTCTTTTTTTTACCTCCCAAAAGGGGGGGCCGGGGCCGGGCCGGCCCCCCCCCTAAATCCGCCCCTGTAGTGAGAAGGGGTGAAATTTAAGCGGTAGGCCCCTATTGATGGACTGTCTTTACAATTAAAGTCAATTAATAGAACTGTATTGACAGTTCTCAGCTTGTATCAACCAGTGTTTTACAAATTTACTGTTTGTACGTGATAACATTTTTAAAAACTTGAAAAATTTAATTTGGTAATAAAACATGTAAATCAGTATTAACTGAATTCTTTTAATCTGCAACTCATAAAAAGTTATTAATTTAATAACAATTTTGAATAAGATACTATCAAATTTCATTCATGTTGCGTAAAATAAGGGCTGTTTCACTTGAAGGTAAATGAAGGTATTTGTTAATTCTATGTAAGCAATTTTAATTTTCTTTTTCAATTTTTGGTTTTTCCATAATGTACCACAGATGGTATACCTTTAATGTTACTAAAATTAAGTTAATGGGAAACGAAATTGAAAATCCAAGTAATTATCTTGTTATCATGGAGGACTTTAAATAAGATGAAGTGGAAATGAATCATGAATGTTACTCACCTAAATACAACTGTACTAAAAAAACATTAACTCATCAAACAATTTACAAAAATGCAACTATAGTTAAATTGAAAATGACTATTGGTTCAGTTAAATCTTTTGAACAGGTATGTCAAAATGTAAAACTATAAATAACTTGTTTGAAATGACAACGTGTTAACTTTAGTTTTATCATTGCATAGGATTAGATTTATTCGGTGTGAGCACCAAAGGACAGCCCGCGAAAGCCCAAAAGACATATTTCTAGTGGGGTCCTTCTGTGATGCTTAGACACTACTACTTTTTAGCTCCAATGAGGAGCTCTAGAAACACTCTGCTGATTGATCAACAGATTTTTCTCAGATCTACTGCCTCTATTATACTGCCCTCATGAGGCTGATTAAATAGTTGATTGATTAATACATCTTTTTAGCTCTACTGCCTCTATTATACTGCCCTCATGAGGCTGATTAAATAGTTGATTGAATAATACATCTTTTTTAGCTCTACTGCCTCTATTATACTGCCATCATGAGAAGCTCTGGAAACACTCGGATGATTGATTAATAGTTGATATAGATCTTTAAGCTCTACTGCCTCTATTATACTGCTTTAATTGGAGCTTTCGAGATTACGAGAACTTGAGTGTACTGCATTTTAACATCGATAAAAGCGATATTGCGAAGGGAAGCAACAACTTTAACATCTATTTCTAAAGACGCTGCACTTTTTATACTTCCATTTCAGCCCTCCAGCTGAAAAACAGGGAGTGCAGCAGATGGAATTGTACTGATCGGCCGTTCTGTGGCAAAACAATGCAACTTGAAATTTTCACTTTCGGAGAAAAATAGAGTTCAAGATTGCAACTTATTAATAAATTGTCATACCCTTTTAAAATTTTGCGGGATTGTATATCTATATACATTGTGATTATGTGTAAAATTTTATTTACAATCATTTGTTTATACTGCAAAGAAATTAGTGATATCCACAGATACGTTGTTATGCCTTGGCAACATGTCAGGTTTGGTATTGTTGCAAGTGCAACATATTTTTGGAATTTATCATGTTTGGGGCAATCATATGCATTATATAGCTTGTTCATGTACATCGCTGTTAAGATTAGAAAACCAATAACCAATTGATTTCACCTTGCCAAACTCCATCAGCTCAAAACAATTTTTGAATGCCATTCCGAGGCAAAACAACGTATCGTCATCGCAGATACGTTGTTTTGCCCCATGATCTTGTACTTACGTTCTTTACCATGGAAAATCACTACATTTTAACTTTTGTGCTTAAAGATAGGTGGTACTATCTCCAAAACGACTCATTGTTGTTGAGACCTGAAATTTTCACAGGTAATTCAGACGTGTTTAATATACTCCCAAATGACATTATCTCAAGATCGACAAAAATGCCTTACGTTGTTTTGCCTCGGGACGGCCGTGATTACCATAGGTTACTCAATAAAGGGTGGGAGAATAACCATAAATCGCTGTCACTATGCTGAATTCCTTATGTGTGGTCCGCAAATACCGTAGCAGCCATAAAGAGGCATTTAGTAGCTTCATACTCACAAAATTTAACAATAAAATGGGGCTGAAATAAACCATAACATCGGTGTAATGCCTATTCTTTCAAAAGAAGCAGATATATATTTGAACCTCCATTTTAAGTCTTATCAAAAATGACTGACCAAACTCTGGCCCCCGGGCCAAGGGAGTGGCTTGAACCAGCACCGATGTTAAGGCTGTACTTAGCGGTGCCCCTGCCATACCACTCAGCCACTCAAGCCGCCCAACAATAGTTCTCCAAAGTTAGTTAAATGGCCAAGCAGTTAGCAAGGGCACTGCAACCTACAGCCTAATATCGGTGCTGGTTCGAACAGCACGCTCATATATGGTTCTTGTGGTAGAACAGGTCTTCAAGGATAAGGACTATAAACCGTAGGCCCAGTGTATACAATGGTTCGCTGGTACAGACAGCACCTGTGGTGGACAAAGAGAGATGCTGGTACCGGGTAGCACGGACACGAAGGGACACTTAGGGGCGAAGAAAGTCCACATATAAAGCGCCATGAGCATCAAATTTGATGGATACCGATGCTATATAAAACTACACTATTATTATTATTATTATTATTATTATTATCTACACTGGTTTATTTAGATGGCTGAACCATGCTGCTAACTGATACTTACCTGAAAATTTGCAACAACACTTAAACCCAATGCTGCACATATAGCAATTAATATTCCTATTTTGTTCCAAAATCCAAAAGCTTTTGTCATCTTTAGTCTCAACTCCTCCATCTGTTTGTATCTGATCCAAGCAGAGGCCAACACTGGAATATTAAAAATGAAAACATTTGATTTGGTTTTAGAATGAAAACACAATATAAGATTTTGCATTTTTGGGTTTCAAAAGTCTTCATAAAAGTAATATGAAATTAGCACAAATTCGATGTCTTTATCTGGTATTCAGGTATAATAATTTCATTTTCTTAAGTCTATTTCTATATTTAATTTTTGCACCTTCAACAGGTGAAAGTCACTAAAGATAAAACATATCTGTAAAAAAGCAACTAGGTAAAGGTAATGTTAAAAAAACAGGTATTTTAACATTTTTGAGTTAAGACAAAATCATTTTCAAAAACTTGAATGTTGCTCTAGTCTTAGTTATAGTTCATTCAATAGAGGGCAGTGTAACTTTTATAGATAATTCAACATCTGTTGGAATTATAGTTGGAAGGAGTTGTCAAGCAAACTTTTCGAAGGTATAGAGTTAATGATTCTTTTTCTTTTTAGGTGGCCTAATTTGAAATTGTTCATGCAGTCATAAAGTTGCATTCATATAGATAAAGATCTACAGTACCAGACATTAATATATTCAAAAAGACTTACACAGCAATGCTGTCAGGTTCAGTAATTGACCAAAAACACAACTTTCTGGAGGTTTTCCACCAGTATCACTACAGAGAGAAAACCCAAGAGGCAATTATATATCCACACCAATTTTATCACAGTTTGATTTCTAGAATTAAATTATTTTAATCACCAAATCAGCAAACTACCATTTGTTGCAATTAAAAAATATTCAAAGAATTTTAACACTAAATGCATTTAAATTACAATAAAACAATGAGGATTACAAAAATTCCTATATAAAAAATCCTTGCACAATGCCAGCAAATGCACATAAAAATTACAAAACAGACATCAGTATGATCGACCCTTTCCAATCATCGGGCATTGTGGCAACGCCCAGTATAAAACTATAAATTGTAGTGTGGGGAATCACACAGACCATGATACTGTATAATACTGAGGGTCTACATATTTTGAAAAACTTATCCCCATGGGGGATGTTCCATACCAAAAATTATAATATTACTCTAATAATTGATGTTGGCAATACATTTCCAGGCTCGGTATGGTGAATCACTAGCCATGTCAGCCCTCAATGCAGTGCACCCATGTTGGCACAAAAAAAAAAAAAATTGGTGGGATAGTGCATTTTTCTTTCTACATAGAACTTCCAGGCTTACCTTATGTAAGGGAATATACTTTGAACATCGCCCCTGACAACAGCTATTGTGTAACTTGTGACAACCGTTGCTATGGATACTCCTGCCAAAGCTATAGAGACAAAAGACATCCCTTGCTGCTGAAAATAAGACACATCCATACTGCGCTTGTTTCTTTCTGTTCACTTTATCTCTGTAAGTGTGGAAATCAAATTTTGAACAAGAATTATTGTGATCAATATAAAAATACTCCTTACCATAACAACATTTGAGGCAAGTTGTGGTGAAAAAAAATTCATGTTAATGTTTTTTTCAATCTGAGTTAGTGATCTTTAAATGTAGAAATTTAGAAGCGTGTGGCACAGTGTGTAAGGTGTTGGACTTTCAATCTGAAGGTCAAGGGTTCAACATCAATGCTTGTCAAACTAATGTGTCCAAGATAATTTATCTGCTTTTGCCTCTTCAGTACCCAGGAGTATAAATAGGTACCTGGTAGGAGATGAATAATTTGGAATAAAATTGTGCTGCTTGCTAGCACACATAAGGAATACTTTGCACATTGGACTGTTTCTGCCTTCCATGACCAAGGAAAAAATCGCCTTTATCTGGGTATGTGTGCTATATAAATCCTATAATAAAAGAAAAACAAAATGAGGAGCCCTTTATCATTGAAATTGGATATCCAAGCCTTAATTAATTGGATAATTGGATGTAAATGTACAGCACTCTGTAAGGGTGCGTTGGGGCAAGAACGAAAAAAATTAGGGTCCTTATCGGTATTTTATCCGCGGGTGGTCTATCAGTTTGTGCTCGGCTTTCAAAAAACCATTAACCTCGGACGTAAAACCTAAGGTATTATGCAAATGATGAGTTTCTATCAAGTTGCCCTGGACCCTTGCATCACCCAATGCTGTAATTAAGAAACGAACATTGGTGTTGGTTTACTGCATAATGTTGTCTCAAAATCAAGTAATGAAATGCCTGAAGTCTCGAAGCAGCTACAACAATAAGCTTCATAAAGCATACACTGCAAACAAACAAACCAATAAATCGCAGATGTGCATTTTGGACGTATAAACCATGAATAAACTTTCATTTGTTTGACAATGATAGTTTTAAAAACAGAAAATTACTATCATTGTTAAACGAATAAGCAGTATTGCCGGGATCATGTATGTATGTGGTGGACATACAGTATGTAATGATGTAACAATCTGGAATCTAGGCTAACCCTCTGTTAAAATAATTTATTTTATTGAGCTTTTCAGTTTTGTTTTTGAAAATAAACTGTAAAAGAAGGAGAGATCATGAAAATTTAAACAGACTTTACTTCCTGGCACATGTTAAAGCAATTAAAGAATAAAAAATTGATAAAAAATGCTCCCTGCTGCTAACCATGCCGCTTTTGCTCCAAAACACTGCAAATTGCAGCGTTGGATTAGCAGCAAATATCAGCTATTAGAACTAGAAATTGCAGTTTCCAGATTTATTCCGTGTCAGACTCCACAAAAAACTCGCCCAAACGTGCCCTTGGGTCGATAAAGATGATCTTGTGTAATCGCCTTCAAAGGTTCTTTGTGCAAATACTTTAATGGTTTGTTGGTCAATACCAGACTTTGGGATATGATCAATTAGATAAATTACCTGTTGATTATACTTACCGTTTTTTAATTTATGTTGCATTTTTTTGAGCTCTCATATTTTAGTAGGCATTGGCGTATCTAGGGGGGTGCACATGCCCTTCTAAAAATTACTCGCCGTCGCTTGCCCCCCAAAAAAGTAGTAAAAAATAACCTAAAATCACCTTATTTTGCGAGTTGGCACCCTCAACTGATCAAGACTTTTAGATACGTCACTGCGAGTAGGGGATTACCTCAGTGTACTGGTCCTTACAGCCCCTGTTACCCAGCACTTACGGACCTTTAAGTCTTTTGCAGGATGTACTACGTAACATATTCATCCCACTACTGGGAAATTCCATGGCTACATGGAACGTATATAACATTGTGAATACACAGTATAGCAAAAAACATTTAGACATTTTTACTGATAGTGAAAATAACATTAATAATCATGATATAATAATAATAATAATAATAATAATAATAATAATAATAATAATAATAATAATAAATACTAATCAATAATAGTTAAATACTTAGATGATAATAATATTATTTGTATAATATACTGTATCAGTATCGGCAGTGAGGGATTTTTATTTCCAAAACTAGAAAACTCGTACCAACCAATATGGAATCTATTTTTAAAATTTACAAGAATGTTTCATTGTATTCCGATTAACCTGAAATTTAAGCAATTTAATCATATTGGTAAAGCAGGAAAATGCACCAGACTAATAGTCAAATAAGCACTGCAACAATGATACAGAACACAACAATTTCCTGCAGGCTAAGTTGAACATCAATTTTTCCTGTATTAAAAGAAATACAGTCTACTGTTTTCATATCATTCTAATTTTCGATTGAAAACCTGTAATTCTTGTGATGGTTTTTTGTATATTGTAATCTTAATTGCTCAATTTTCTAATTTGTGTATATTCTTGAATTGTATATTTTGTATATATGCATGGTGAAGTAATATACAAACACACAAGGATAAACCATCAGCACAGTCAGCCAGGAGTTTATCGCATCCTGTGTGAATGCGGAAATGTTTACATTGGTGAAACAGGATGAGATCTCTGTACTAGGCTCAAGGAACACCAAGGCCATGCCAGGAGAGGGGAACAACAAAAATCGTGTATAGTCATTCACACCCACAGTCAACAACACCGTGTACACTGGGACAAAGGCGAACTAATGGCCACTGTACCATCTTGGCACTCCAGAAGGACCAGAGAAGCCACAGAAATTCACAAACACAATACAGTACATCAAGATATCGGATCTATCATTAGCGATATTTGCCTGACCGTGTTTAATTGGACCTAGCCAAGCAGCTCAGCTTTTCCCGCCTCACTGGAACTATGCCTTTGTTTTTGGTCGTTCCCAACCCCCTTTCTGCAGATATTATTCTGAAGACGATTGAAGCAACTCAATCGAAACGTTGAGACTTTCTCAACTAGAACAGTTCTTTTCTTTCTACGTGGTGTACCGCAAGCTTAAACATATATTGTATATTTTTGTAAATGCATAAATTTCTTATTCCTAATGTGCTTTCATTTGTTTAATACTGTAATGTCAATTTTTTAAAAAAATCTATTTTTGTACAGCGCTTTAGTCTCTCAGAAAAGCGCTTTATAGAGTAAATCAAAATAAATAAATAAATGAATAAATAAATAATTTATTTAAATACTACAAACAAAGTGAGCAGGTCCATGTTTACTGACATATTTCAAATTGAAAAAGACCAATTTTGCATAAGGGCACATAGAAAATATTATTAGATTATCACTCTTTTTGTTTTAAATTGATGAGGGAGGGCAGTTTTTTTCTTTTTTTCTTTTTTTTAATCGTTACAATAAATTATTTCGCTTTTGTTTTTATCGATGAGGGAGGGACTTTTTATATTTGGCCTGTACCTGGGCCTGTAATAGAAATATTGCATAAAAACTAGTTTAATTTTATAGTTTTTTAAAGAAAATGTATTTAAAGTCACAGAATTAGATTGTTATTTTATGCTGTTGAAATAATTGATGGGGGCAAAAAGAATTTTTTTTTATTCCCGCATTAATATTTTCCGAAATTTTAATGCGGGCGGGAGTGATAATCTAATAAATTTTTCAATTTGCACTAAATAATTGTGCACAATACATTGTATATTAAATCGATAAAATATTTTCTTTTTATAATTTATATTTTTTTACTTCTACTTCTATAGACTAACATCCTACCAGCAGATAACACTTCATTCAAATATATATATATATATATATCAGTGAATAGAATACATTATAATGAGATGATAAGTGCGAGTATATATTTTAGAAGAAAAAAAGTGACATCAGTCAGGTCTATATAATTGTACTCATTTCTCTATTTTCTGGATAAATATATATACCATACGTCCTTCTTCCCCCTCAGTCAGAACATCTGTACCCAGGCGGCAATCAATGGTGGACAAAAAGCAAGCAAGGGATATCCTGCTTCTTTTGTTTAAACCAGCTATTGCAAGTGCACTGCTAGGCCCCCTTTAAAATTCCCCTGACTAAAAACTAGGGAGATGCTGAACCCACCCTACCTAGCTAGGTACTAGGTAGGCTATGTTGTGGCTTCGCAACGGTCTAAAATAATATTATGATGGCTGTAAAAAGAGCAAATTTATATCCAATTATATTCTTACCACACCCAGGAATTAACAAGCAAGTTTTCCGAACAGGCCTGGTTCTGCAATGCACTTTGGCTTAAGCTTTTTTCTCTTCTTTTGTAATATACTGTAACAATGAAATAGGCCTACCTGGGTATTTACTACCGTCACAAGACTACAGTAATGATGTAATAAAAGGTCATGCGGAAAGTTGTTAGGTTCAACCATTATTTATAGGGATGCAAATAATATTGTATTTATCCTTTTACCTAATTACTAGAAGTGAAACTTCTTCTTTAGTAAAGGAGAATACAAAAATAATACTAATTTATAGTAATTGTCGGAATTTCCATTTAGATATACATTTATATATGAATTTTATATTGCATTGTTAGTTTATTTTTTCCTACTTTGACAGTAGAACATTCACCAAGATATACTGGGTATTCCCCTCTCTGAGATTAGATTGAAGAAGTTGTTTTTTTTTTCGAGGAGAGGCGGGGAAGGCATCACGTTGTGAGGTAATATTTATAAATTTCAGATATTACAGTGTATTAATTTCATAGTAAAAACTACGGAGCAATTGTTTTTCAAGCATAACTTATTTTGTTGTTAGCCCTAGTTAATTAATTGGTAGTGTAAATCTCTGTACTACGATTACCTTTTTTACTTAGGCTTGCTGAAGGCTTAGTAGTAGTTTGTTAGTCAGAGTAGCCTACTGCTAACCGGTTAAACCGCCTCCCTATCTATAATGTATGATAGGCGTACCTCAAGCCTAAATTAAAGAAGGCATGTTTTAATACCTACTTCAGTAGTAGTAGTAGTTTTATAGAGACGCAGGGAAACATCCAATACTTTTATCTATATTACTTATTAGACCCTTGTTGTGTCATGATCATCAATCAAACAACTGTCTTGTGACACTGACTGGTTTTGTACATTTATGATTTCACACCTGACTGACTATTATTAATAAAACGAGCAAAAACAAACAGATCTATATTATATTAGACCCTCTTGTGTCTAGGCTAAGTGTACACCATGATCATCAACATCCGTCTTGTTTCTGGTTTTGTACATTTATAATTACGCCTGACGGACTATATTATTTAATAAAATTAAAATGAACAAATACAAACTTATAAAACTGCACATGGCATCTATAACTATTGATTTTGTTTATAAGTGCTGTATGCAGTTTGTGTTTTTAACCCTGTATATATTAAAGTTCTTTGAAAAATCTGTATATATAAAATTTCAATTTTTAATATTTAAAATTTTTATTTATTTAGGCTATTTAAAAATTGTTGTAATGGTTTTATTGGTATTTTAACAATTGCAGTTTGCGGAATGTACTCTTGTAAATAGCCTTTATTTTAATTTAAAATCTCTAACTTTTATATATTTTTATTTATTTTATATTGGCTATTTTGCAATGTATATTTTAGCCTCTTGGCAGTTTTGTAATTTATACTGTATTTATTTAAGGACAGGGTGTAAATCCCTGTTATTCAAACTTTTTTTTTTAGCTTTGGACCCAAACTTTAACACTGAAAATTTGGTGAACCAATGTCTCTTGGACATACTGAACCTAATTTACCAGAAAAAATTACAGCATTGCATTTTAGTAGAAGATACATGTCTAGGAATCCTTGTAAAGATCAATTTACATTTTTGGAAAATATTTTATAACTTAATTTAAAAAAAAGAGTAGTGCAAAAGATCACTGCACCTTACTGTAACTTAATTTTTTGATTGAAATTCATAAAAATAGCAGCTGAAACATAAGCAGTATATGAAGGCTACAGTAAAGTTGTTAATGGTTTAACAAGAAAATATTTGATATCAGTTTTGGCTTGTAACATGTGAAACAGAAGGTTGTTGTTATCACTCAAAATATCATTTTTTGACAATAGGCTAGGATCAATCAAAAACATTCATCTGGTGTAAAGTTTATGTATAATATTTTTTCTTTTGTTAAACCAATAACAACTTTAGCTACTGGTTACATTTTAATAGCTATTTCGATGGATTTTATATTGCACATTAAGATTAAGGTGCTTTGATCTTTTTTCATTATTTTTGTAATTAATTTTTAGAATATAAAACGATAAGAAATCAAAACTTGTGAGGTATACTCTGTACATGCAATTTTAACCATTTTTTTTAGTAGGCCTACTGTTGAGTATATTAGAATACGTTGAATATTATTTTCCTGGTAAATTAGATACTGTATTTACAGAGTGGTTGAGTCGAAAAATTTACCTGGGTTTAAAATCTGGGTCCCCAGCTAAAGGTTGAATAACTGGGACTGAAAACAGTTTATAACAAAACGTTTGTCAGGGCTCATCTAGCACTGTTTCATGATTGGTCTAGGCCCTGGGTATTCAACCTCTTTTTTTAATGTCTTCCATTTTGGACGGCCTATTTCTTTTTTCTGGCTAAACCCATGATGCACACCATCGTGTCGGGATTCAATAATTTAGTCAAAACATGCAAATGTTATGAATTTCTGGAAGATGTGTTATTTTCCCGGAGATTCTTTCTTGCTTGCTTGCAGGAGTGCGGGAGACCATTTTCTGGGAGACTCCCGGGACACAAAACTTTTGTTCAACTTCAGTGTGGATCCTGTTTCAGTGGAGGCTCCAAAAATTTGGCCGACAAAGGGGTCTGACATGTCCAACAGAGGGATCTGAACCAAGGGGTCGACTAGAGCCTCGGTCAGAGTCCAGGAATAAAAAGTCTCTCGTAGAGTTTAAAACGGGGAGAGTTTTATGGTTTACTGTAGTATGGTCCAAATTGTGCCTTTAGATTCACAATGAGATTGGCAGTCAAATTAAGTTTTTTGTATAGGCAAGTAGTGTACATATTAATTTTATTTTTGAATATTTATTATTTAGTTTTTTGTATTTAAAACCAATTGTGTTTCAAGGTTTCCTACCATTATATTTCAGAATGTTGTGTTCTTGGTTTCGCATTGGCTTGGGATGGCTTCCCATCCTGGTTGGAATTTTTATGGGCATGTCAATATTTATTCCGTAAGTTTTTTATTCATTCATTATAAAAAAATTATTCTAAGATGTAGCGAAGGATGCTGTTCAGGATTATGAGTTACAGTACATATTTAGACCTACTTGTAAATGTACAGTATAAATATTTTTTCAGAACTACAACAATATTAATACCGGATGGAACTATTTGAATATATAAATATTTTTATTAACGTAATTGTGAGTATTCCAGATGGAAGATAAGACAAGTATTGGTAAATACGTATTCAACTCTTGCGATATGGCTAAAATCACACTAACAAAAATATTTACCAATGAATGGAAAAATAATTAAATTGGACATATGCTCACTAAATATTACATTTTTTGATCAACCAATAAAACTTTGTAGTTAAGTACTTTCTGTACATTTGCAAACCTTGTATTTTGTTATCTGACTGAAATTTATGATCTTACAAAGACTGAGATCTTTAAAAACAAAACAAAGAACTTGCTGAAATCGTTGCGAAGGTAAGTAACCAATTGGTTCAACAAAATAGATAATTTTTCTGCTATTCTTATGGAACCAAAATGTTATCTGACTGAAATTTATGATCTTACAAAGACTGAGATCTTTAAAAACAAAACAAAATGCTGATCGAGAATGAAAATTGTATGTTTGGATAAGACTTGAAAGTACATCATTAAAATGTTATCGGTTGATCAGAAAGAAATTAAATATTACACTGAAGTTGTGAGCTTGGTTCTCTAAAGTTGAAATACACGTAAACAATTAAAAAATTAGTAAAGAATAATAATTAAAAAAATTAAAGATTTCCATTTGAAAATATGCAATGATTAAATTATTATAAACATCAAGGCAAGCAGATGATTGCTTTCAGTACTGTGTAAATGTATTTACTTCATATAATATTAGTGTAATTATGTTTTAATGAATAGTTGTTATTCTTAATGCAATTATCACTAACTATAACAAAACCAGGCACTTTTCGTAAAAAACGTGTCTTCAAATCAGCTGAAATGCCCATGTATTGGCCACCTTAATACACCACAACTATAAATTATCATATCTGCCATATTTTATCGGTTTTAACAATTTTTGCATACTATTATTTAGACTTTGACCTCGATTATAAAGATCTAATAATCTCATTTTTCATTTTTTTTTAAACAAGAGCCTATTTTTGCTAGAATCTTATTTTTTTCTTATGCCAAGCCAAGCCAGATGATGGCCTTCCAGTTAGTCCCATTTCATCACTGCTGGTAGGTCAGTGGCCTTCAGTCCAGTGTCCTTGCACAAAACAAAGAATACAGTACATTTAATTCTGATACAATTTTCTTATGCCAAACAAAATGGAAGATAGAAAGTTTTTGATCTACGTTTTGTTGCGGTACATTACTAGGCATTTTTGATGGATTTGCTCCCATTGCTAACTACCAAATGTATATTACTTGAATTATGAAATATCAATCTTTATATTTATTATTATTATTTTAATATTTATTATTATATTGTAGATTTTAGCTTGATAATGTTATAAAAGTGGAGTTTTGCAATTTAACCACCAGTTTGTTTTTTTTGTTTTTTTTTCCCAGGTATGCAATATCTGTCAGTTTGGGCCATGTTAGTGCAGGATTCCCATATATAAGGTAGTTTTCTTTTATTTTCTTTGTTTCACTCAACTGAAATGTGGTTAAGGTGCTTGCCTTCTAATCCCAGGGTCCTGGGTTCAATTCCTGTGACCGCAGGATTTCTTTTTCTCATGATTGGAACAAGTCTCATTGTTATACTAAACATTAAACAGGGTCCTATGGGAGAACAGTAGATATCTTGAACAGGTTACCCAGTATAAAGAAGAAAAATAGAATAAAAAAAATATACAAATCAGACATGGTAATAAAGTTATTGGCGGGGGTTTGATGCCCCCATGTCTCGCTTGTGTGTGTCAGTGTCGGATTCAAGGGGAAAAGTCCCCAACTCCTAACTTTTTCTACGCCAGTAAAAAAATAGACAAAAAAAACAGATGATATTCAAATTTATGTCCATGGCCATTTCCAGCCATTCAGAGTTGCCATAATCAGAAATTTTCTTACTATTAGGTGGTCTAGATTCTCTGTTTGTAAAAGGGCCTCCCTTCCCCCTCCTCCCATCTATTTCTAATTCTTGGATCTGCCCCTTTGTCTCTTCACCCACTAGTACTGTAAAATGGGTGTCTTTTGAAAATTTAAATGTATTTTACATATCACTTGTGTCTTTGGGTAAGGCTTTTAATCTATTCATCTTGCGTCACTCAAGTTGAATTACATATGTTTAGGGTGTTGTATTGTTGAATAAATTTGTGTGCAATGCATTGCTAAATAAATTAAGTATGCACCACAGAGAATGGAAGTGGTTGAACAATGTTCATGTGGCAAAGACAAGCCAAACCAATCACAAATCATGTTTTAGAGATAATGGCCAAAACATACTGGAATATATCAAGATTTTTTATAATCTGTTTTATACACTAAACCAACCTTTATTTACATCATGCTATGTTATTATTTAATCTCAATTTTCAATGTTAAAAGAACAATTTTTAACAATTTGGTAATGGTTTCTGCCTGAAAAATGCCCAAAATCATAAACTTTAATAATAATAATAATAATAACAATAATAATAATAATAATAATAATAATAATAATAAATAATAATAATAACAATAATATTAATAATAATAATAATAATAATAATGCATTTATAATTGCGCCATATAACTAGGTAAACCTATTCCGAGGTGCACACAAACATACAAAACATGGAAAATCAAAAAACAACAATTATAACTTTGAAGGATGATTTATCAAATATTGCTCTTTAACCAGGTGTATGTTTAAACTCTGTAACCTTATAACAAAATGTCGGATTTAAATGATTCTTTCACCATTTTATAGCTCTCATTTTATTGTTTAACACTGTTTTATTAACTAAAAAGGAATAAAAAAAAGTCTTGTCTTAGGGGTACATTCATAGTTATTCATAAAAAAAAAGTACAACAATTAATTGACCTTTCCAGAATGTCAATCAAACTTAACAACTGACCCACAAAAACAAATGTTTGCACATATTTTTACACTATAATAACTTAATAACTTTCATTCCACTACCTACAGTATGGTACAATGCCGAAACCAAGAAGGCAATTCCTGTAAGCAGGTCCGGTATTATAAATTAATGCCTTAAATAAACATCAAACAGATACAAACATGTTCCTTAATAACTCGCCTGAGAGGATTATTCAAGGAGCTGAGCGTTTTTTGTTATTATAAAAGACACGAATTTAATACTCAACACAGAGCCTGGTATCGAACCCAGGCCCTGGTGTGCAAGAGGCAGGAACCATACCAATTTGCCAAAATGCTCAGCTCACTGTTGTTTTGTGGGACCATAGCAACAACATCCAGGGGGGGGGGGCGAGGGTCAATTACTGTATATGCACTGATAATTAAAATATTGCGAATAAGTACAGGTATGTGTAATATGTGACAAAGCTTTGATATTTTTTGTATTTCGAAGTGCACTACATAAATACCCCAAACATAATATAATGTGTATTTTCTGGCTAAACTGATATTAAATTTCTAGTTTTTTTTTTTTTTTTTTTAATTGTATTCTCTTAGTGATACAGGAACATACACACCAGAAAGCTGCATATTTGGACAACTTCTGAATATAACATCTGCGTTAGGTAAGTAGTTTATGACTGCATACAGAGTATACGTTGACTGCCAGACATAATTTGTAGGTTCCTTCCTGCATGACAAACCAAGTACACATGTACAAACATACTTTTTTTTAAATTTTATCTAGTCATATGTCATCAAAATGGTATGTCTAATAAATTGGCTTGAAAATATCAGGGGATGTTTAAACTTGTCGCCAGCAATGGAACAGTAACTTTTTATTGCTGCTGCCAAGTGCGAGCTCTCTCGTCTGCTTTTTGCATGGGTTGGTATATATTCAGAGGGTGCCCCCACTCGTGCAATCGAGTGTACTGCCGGCAACATAACCCAACAAACTGTTATCATCTAGTTGTTTATTCCCCGAATTACCAGCCGTTATAAGTCTATGGTTGTACAATATATAACAATAAAGTAATAAACGCTAGAATTTTTCCCTAGTTTTGATGAGTATTCGTCCCTAGCGCCCAAAGCAACACCTTCAGGCAAACGTGTTGACACAAACTGTAATAGTTTTTTGCAGTACACAAAACCTGAAAGAAGAATCTGTTAGCGATGCTGAATTTATGAAATATACTGGTACTTCCTGTTGGTTGGAGTGAAAGACATACACAGTATTTGCCAACCCTCCTAATACACATAATTATTTGCTACTTGTTTTGCAGCCTTCCAATTGCCTACTGTTTGGAATTGAGTAGCATCTAATATTACTTCCAATGACTATTGTTACTAATTCATAGACTTGGAACTGCAAATTTGTTTCTATTTAATATTGTAAATAGGAAAGTTATCAACTTGAACATAGCAATTAGTGTTATTTAAAAAATGTTTACCCATCAGTTTACAGTGAAAATGATAGAAACACTTCCAGTCACTGGAAGTGTTTTATTTACTTTTATTATATTTTTCTGGTTTAAGAATCAGAGTACAAATTTTTTAAAATGAGCAAGTTGATTTCAAAATTAATTTTTATTGTTTTTTGACATTAGCAAGGGACAATACATCTTTAGGTAATTATATCAATTATAATGCAGAAATAACGATTTAATTTTAAAATTTCCGGCCATTTATAGATGCTATAATCGTAAATTTTTTTACCTCAGTCCCAAATATGGTGGGGCTGAGGTGATTAGACCCCCCTATCTGTCAGTGTCCCTTCCTAGGCGTCCCTATTTATAATTCCTGGTTCTGCCAGAAATTACTTGTTACTTGTTTAAGTAAAAAATAACTTCAATCTTTTAACACAAAGCCAAACCATTGCAGGCCAAAACCCGAGACTACCCTAAATTTTCAGGTCCCAAAGATGATCTCAAATTGGAGGGCAAACTTTATTCAACATTAAATTTTTATTAAATCAAACACAAATGGATATTTTTGTAAGAAATAATTCATAGGAAAATAGTACTCTCCAAAATATGCTTACATAATTATGTGATGGCTTGTCCAACCAGGACTTGGCCTACCACGGTTCTCCATCGTTGTTTGTCCTGCGCTGCCATTGTCACTTCAACATGTCTTAAAGTAGGTTTTAATGTACTAGTGGATAAAGCCTATTGATATGCAAGATAATTTATCAGATAATTTAAAATCAATAATACCAAATCCTTTTTTTTTGGTGTATTTTAGCATTTGCTTCCATTTATGTACGCTACAAGCAAGTCCAAGAATATACTAAAGATTCTCAACCAGAAATTGGTAAATGGAACAAAGTGTCACTGTTCTTTGGCTGTATTGCAGCCTTAGGAATGAGTTTGGTCGCCAACTTCCAGGTTAGTATTAGCAGGGCTGGAAAAAGCGTGCGACCGCTTGCTTGCTCCAAGGGCCACTAAATGTACAGTACTATTGTTTTGCTATAATAGTATAAAGATTCCTGGAGGCATTTGATCAAGATAATTGTCATGGTTGGAGGCAGAACAATTTTTTCCAGGCCTAGAGTATTAGTAAAACTTATCCAGAGATATGTAGTTTGCTAGGCTTGCATTATTGGCTACTGTACAGAAAGTCAGTTGATTGACTGATTAGTTGACTATAAGTGACTGATCTGATTGATTTATTGATTGAGCAATTGATGATTGATGGATTTATTGATTGATTGAAGTGACAAACTGAATCATTAGTCAAGTTATTAATTGGTTGTTTTACTGATGGAGTGAGTCAGGCACTGAAATATTGGTAAAAATCAACCTCATTAAGTAGTTTCCTGGATGTTTCACCTGTTGCATTGATGATGCTTGATCATTTACAATGATGCGTATACTTTTTAACCGCGAGAATCAATTACATATAAATGTATTTTACGCATTATCTTGAGAAAGAACGTGTCCTAATGGGAAAATCTACTTGGCCTCAGCTCAGTTGGTAGAGTATCTGAACGGTTATCGGACTTATGTCTTGCCATTTTTAGGAGCTGAATGTCCTAACTGTACATTTGATTGGCGCGACTGGCTGCTTCGGCCTGGGAACCGTCTACTGCTTTATTCAAACGTCTATATCCTACCGGATACACCCTCACTTCTGCACACAGACAGCCTACAGAGTTCGAAGCGTTTTATCGTTCCTGTCACTGATTGCTTTTGTTTTTAGTATCCTTTATTTTTTGCAACTTTTTAGGACACATAATATGGCCTTGGATCTGGCATGATACTCTGCTTTTAGACCCCCCAGCACAGTGGTGGCGCCAGAGGGGGCTGGGGTTATAGCCCCTCTGTTGGGCAGGCCCTGGCGCCACCACTGCCCCAGCAGCCCACAAAAATCTCAAGCCCTTTGTAAAATCTGGGGCTTTTTTTCCAATAATTCACATTAAAAGAGAATACACAAAAAGGATTTGCTCAACTTGGGTCCAATTCCCCTGAAGGGAAGGCTGATTTCCCGGATGGGGAGGGCCATGGGAAGCCCCATAAACCCTCAGATGGGGGTGTGGGGTAATCCCCTGGAAACTTTAGAGATTTGAAAGGCTTATTTAGTTGATTTTTAGAGTCTTCAATTCGTAAAAACTTATAGACTTTTTGACCCTGATGAATTGTTTTTTCTTACCAACATCTCTTGACAATGCCCTCACTCCCTGCCCCCCCCCCACCACTCCCCACTGGTGCTGCCACTGGGGTGGGTTGGTGGAAGACCTATTATGTCATCCTATAACACGATAATATTTTCTCATGTTGGCCCAATTTTGTAGTATTAATTTTTTGTTGTGTTCAAAGTTGTGGGGTGTGAACTCTCAAGCTAACATAACCTTATAATTTGGCAGCTATGTCAGTAGTGATTTTTTGAATCCTTAACTCTTTTTTGTAGCAATGGTATTTGCTTCTCTGGCTAACCAAAAATGGGATGGTAATCTTGATGAAAAAACTAAATGGACTAAAGACAACGGCGTAAGTTGAAAGTTGAAAATATAGTACAATATTTGATATGCTCTCCAAATGCATTTGGAAATATCATTCAGATATGTTTGTGATATAATGCTTATATACAGTGGTGTAACAAAGACAGCTGAGACCCCTATTATAAGGCTTTTTTCAGGCCCTATTAAATCGAGTGTTGGGTCTTGGCAGAGCCCTGGGGTCAAGCTACAGTCCCTGGTATGGGGCAAAGCCCATTTTGCATTGTTAATGTTTGTGAAAGGGCATCTTTTTCAAGTGGTTTTAAACACATTCTGTTCTGCTAAGCCAATTTTTGCGGCAGATAAACAGGGGCGGATTTAGAGGGGTGGGCCGGGTCGGCTCCGGCTCCCCCTCCCCACTAATTCTGGAAAGTCAAAAAAAAAATAAAAAGAAAGAAAAGAACAAAATGATCGCCCAAAAGGCATCAGAGGTCATTTTCAGGCTTCTAGAACAGAGAAATTTTGCGAGAGAGCATGTCTGCGGACCCCCTATGGTATTGTTTTTTTGATCGGCCCACTTTTGGTCCCCCTTCTGGGCCTCCTTTTAGGACATCTCTGGATCTGCCCCTGATAAATGTTGATGAACCTCCTGCGGCCCTTCATGTCTGGGCCTACCTCATTTAAGGTGTGGGTACCTGGCTATAACCGGTGGGAGCTCACAGCTGTTACGCCCACTGCTTGTATACGGGGCTCGCCATACTAAAACCAGAATCAGTGACCAAAAAAAGAAAATTGACTTTTCCATATATTCATATTCTACTTACTATTGCCAAAGTTATGAGTAAAAGTATTATGGCTTTCTCTGTACTAAAGTATACAATATTGCCACATTCATATGCTAATTACTCAGTTTAACAAAGCAACATTACAGTACGCCAGTAATTGGATGGCAAGCCTTATATATTTTATAAACCCTACGAATTATGAACTGCAAAATAAGTATATCTATCTTTTTTCTCAAAGGGTTACACGGAGCATGTACTCAGCACGACATCAGAGTGGATCCTAGCTTTCAGTTTTCTTGCATTTTTCTTCACCTTCATTCGAGAGTTCCAGAGAATCGAACTCGAAGCTCAGTTGAAGCCGTCAACGTACTGCCTTCTCTTAGGCACCAGTCCTTCAGGTGCATACTCATAAAGAGACCAGTATTAAGGCACTTAAATGCAGCGGCAGACCATAGGATTAGTTAAAGTAGCCGCCGGAAGTTTTCGGGTAAAGATGGGGTAAAGAGGGGTAGTAAAAAATAAAAGTTGTTATTTGTGTAGTCATATTGATTGCATTTTACAATTGACTATGCCACACACCCCCTCCCCACTCTCAGTTGACTATACCCAGATTTTTTCTCTCAATCTGCTCATGATACCCAGTACCTTATAGAGCAAACTCCTATTTAAGACCATGGAATTGGTTATTATAAAAATGAATACAAATTTGAGTCATATTTCACTGTGAATCATTCTTAAATAATATACTATATTCTCTCCATATCTCTACTTTTTGGCTATTGTAGGATATGAAACGTTGTTTAGAGTTCTAGCTAGAGTATGCAGGGTGGCCCACCAATGGTCAAATAATGTAACTTAAAGGAATGTTGTACAGATTAACACCAAACATTCATATTACCTTAATAGTCGATTGTTGGCAGTTAGCAGTTGTATTTTGGAAGAACATTGGTATAATGCAAAGTTAAACTTTTTTTTTATACCATATTTACATTTATATATTTTTGTAGACAAAAATGTTCATCTAAATAAACCCTTAATCATTGTAAATCTCTCAATATGGAGATGAAATTTGGACAAGTGCCTCATTTATAAAATTATTATTTTTAGGCTTTAATATATTTTGTTTTGTTTCCTTTTAATCCAAACCATCACTATCTCATAGGTCGATTTTGTTTTGTTGTAATTAAATTAATTTTGTTCCTTCTTTATGTTTAGTTTAGGGGAGGTTATTTACTTATTAACTTTGTAATATTTTCTATGGTATGTTATATGTTTGTGCTTGTGTTTAGCACATGTAATAAATGCATAGAAATGGAAAAAAGTATATCATCTACATCCAATATGCGGAACGCAGTACAAATTTTGAATGCAAAGTAAAAAAATTCTAAAAGAACCCTGTGTGATCCACTCTCAAATATGTAGAAGGCAAGGCATTTGTAATGTAAAATATTGGCATATGTAAATACAGTATGTAAAAGGGGCAAGGCAATTTATATCAATACTGCAGCTGTATTTTGACTTTTTAGAGGACATAACATTATGGCAAAGATATTGCACTAACTGTATGTCTTAAATGCTGTGAATTGCTTTCAACTCTATAGGCTTGGTTGAGCTTAAAAACACCTAAAAGAAAATCACCTGTTTAAAAAAAAAATATGTTAATTTGTACATTTATGGAAGTTATCGGCTTTTGTTTTATTATTTTTCTCTACATTTGGATGTATGGATTATGATTTCTATTTATTCTTTGAATTCTCTGGATGACATTAATCCCATTTATTTCAATACTCGGGAGTATTTTCTTATACACATCT